GAGGGCCTAGGTCCTGCCCGAAATGATATGACAGACTTTGATGATCCCCCATGGAAGGCCTCACTCTCCCTGGGGAGTGGATGGGGGGGGGCTGAGGGAGGGTGGGAGGGAGAGGTAACTGGGATTTATATGTAAAATAAGATTGTTTCTAATTTAAATAAAAAATTATTTTAAAAAAAGGCCAGGCAGTGGTGGCTCACACCATTAAATCCCAGCACTCGGGAGGCAGAGGCAGGTGAATCTGGAGGCAGAGGCAGGTGAATCTGTGAATTAGAGGACAACCTGGTCTACAAAGCTACACAGAGAAACCCTGTTTGGAAAAATACAAAAAAGTAACAAAAATTTATCAAAAAATAACTGGGGGTAAGACAGTTTCCTGGTAGACATTGGGGTGATTTTTTTCAGTCCTAAAGAAATTCGACAGACTCCTAGCAAAAAGAGATAAAATAAAAGTCCAAGATGCAACAGGGTAATCCAGTCAGGACTTAGGAAGAGATACCATAACCCATATATCCCTGGTTATGCTAGAATGCCCTATTCCCTACTGGGCCAAGACCTGTTACAGAAACTACAAGCACCATCACCTTTATGGAAGGCATGACAGAATTAGACTGCAAACTCCCCACTAAGATCCAAGTTAATTTTCCAATTGTGGAAGAATACCAGTTATTATCTGAGCCATCCCCAGTCTAGCTGGAATACACCCCACACCTGGCTGAATTTTAAGTCAAGATTTCTGGGGTATGGGCAGAAAAAAATCTACCTGGACTGGTAAGACATCAATCTTCAATAGTATTTCAATTAACTACCACCACAACCCCAAACCAAGTAAAACAATACCCCATGGGAATGGAAGGGGAAAAGGGAATTGCAATTCATATCCAGAGAATCAGGGAGGCTAGCTACCATTTGAGTTCCTTTGGAACACTCCTCTCCTTCCAATTCAAAAACACAACACTAACAATTACAGAACTCTCCAAGATTTAAATGAAGTAAATAAATGGGTAGAAATTATTTATCCCACATTTCCACACCTGTATATCCTCAGTCTCTCCCCCACCACACCAAAACAAGTCTACACTGTTCTATAGCTGAAGGATGCTTTCTTCAGTCTGCCACTAGCCAAAGTAAGCTAACCTTTTTTTTTAGCTTTTAAATGGATGGATCCAGAAAAGTTATTTAATGGACAACATACTTTGACAAATTGCCACAATGATTTAAAAATTCACCCACCCTGGTTGATGAGGCACACAAGTGGGTATCTCTTCGCCTTTAGGAAGAATTACCAAGAGGTTATCCTCTTACAGTATGTAAATGATTTACTATTGGCCACTGATACTGAGGCCAACTGTAGACAGGCCACGAAAGGCCTTTAAGGGTGAGCTTTAAGACCATGGCTGAAAGGGTTTTCCAGTGTAAGGGTATCTAGCAATCTGGAATCAAGGAATATCACAAAGTCATACCATGCAACAAACCTAACATAAGAGATTGATTGGAGAGAAACAGAATGGCAGCTGCCTCTGGGAACAGAGACGGTAGTGGGCTGGGCAGAAAGGACAGGTTTTGCAGGAGTTTGGAACATGTGCAGTGAGTTAGTGCAAATAATTGATTGCCCATTAACCAAGTCATTGGGGTCAGAATTTCCAAGTTCCAAGTTTGGGGACAGACCAGGGGCAGAATGGTTCTCCACTGGCCTGTCACCCTACAGTGGCTACTATGTCCCTTCCAAGAAGGCCCAATTATGTACCACAAAAGCTACCTGAGTTTTATAAATTAGGAAGAAGAAAATATGCACTGTCCCAGAGATATATTGAGGCAATCCTAAAAATCCCTTAGCCAAAGAACATGTAGTTGAGGGAACACATGAACTAGCAATTGCTCTAGGATAAAGTTCTCCCCAGACTGACCTGATGCCCCTTATCAGTTGAGGATACATAACACTGAAAATGTAAATATGAGTAGTCAATTAATAGTCTTATTTTCTGCTGCTTACATATACATTTTTGAGAATCTTGCGCTATGTATTTTAATTCAGTTGTTTGATAAAAAGGTCATCCCTTTATATCAGACACATAATGGAATACTGAGAACAAATCCTGAGGAAAAAAACTGCGGTAAGTGCCACAGCATACAAATCAACAGGAGGAACGGAGCAGTGTGGATTCTAAAACAGGGACCTAGTCTCAACTCATAACTCACTAGCCCTGTGAACTTTAAACTATTAAAAAACACTCTAAGCCTCTCATTCTCCAGTGTTGTACAACATTTTCCTCCTAGGACTGGAGGAATGAAACATTCCATCCTACAGGAAGCACTTTAAGCAGGACGGTAAACAACTCAAATGGCTTCAGGAAGCTCTTTAAGCCGGAAGGTAAACAACTCAGTACCTTCAGGAAGTCTCTGAAATTGACCAGATTCACTAAGCCATTCCCTGCCAGAGTAAACAACAAAAGTCTCTTAAGGGGAAATGAAGCAGAGGGGCAAAGAAGATTCTCAGAAGAACCAAACTGCCGAATGCTGTGCTGCTGTGATTTTCAAAGCAGAAAAGCTGCTTAGACTCAGAGTCCAGGCCAGCAGCCTGGAAGCAGCAGAAGCCAGACAAGCTGCTGGAAGGGTTTTAGATCACCTGGAAAAGACACTCTCCAACCTGTTGATCTGTCTGCAGTCTGTGCAGTGTGTCCCAAGTTCTCAGCTATTTTGGTCACTTGTAGGTGGGGAGGGATGGGAGTGGGGAGTTGGGGTACAGGTTGGGGGGAGGGACGGCTTTGGTGATGAGTTATCTTTTGAGTCATTTCCTCTCCTGTAAGCAACCCCTCACCCATACTCCTGTAAGTAACCTCAATAAAACTCATGGCTCACCAAGTTGGACTTTGGCGTTATCTGTATTTTGGTCTGTTGTGGGCTATCTGGGGTGAATAGGCATGTATTGTTTCTCCACAGGGGGGAAAATTGTGATGCAAACAATGAGTTTGTGACTTTTCTTCTTTCAGGACTGAGAAAACAGTACTGAATGGACAGCATTTGTGCATTTACCTGCCTTGTATGACTTTCATAGAAATGTGGGAGTCAGCCTCCATGGTGGGCCGCAGCAGTTCCTCCGGTTCAGCTGGCCAGTGCTTCGGAGATGCCTGAGAGGAAGGTTAGCTCTGATGGAGTATGGGGCAGCAAGGTGGAGCCCAAGCAAGGCTCTGCAAGATCAAGGCCACCTCTGCAAAGTCTGACTCAAAGCAGAAATGGCCTCAGGAAAAGAAAAATCACCAGACAAAATGTGCAAACAAAAGAGGGGAGCCAAAGGAAAACAGGCTAAGTGGCTGACCAGCAAACCACACATGTGCCTGTGGAAAACAGAGAGATGGCAAACCAGAGTCCATCCTCTGAGGTAGAGGAGAAAGGAGCCAAGTCTGACTAACCATCACAACATCTGTCAGTGGTCCCTGCCTCACTTCTTGTACCATCCAGAGGAGTATTTTGTTTTTTTTTTTTCTTGGAGGGGAGGTGTTGTTCTTTTGTTTAAAATTAGAAGGCATACACCTGTGTGCAGACTACTCACGGAACCCTGGGCTGACCAGAGTATTGCATGAGCCATCCTGCCAGGTAACAGGGTAGGCCAGCGTAATGCCTGAACCTTTCAGGAGGGTTTCAAGACAGGGTTTCTCTGTATTGTTTTGGAGTCTGTCCTGAAACTTGCTCTGCAGACCAGGCTGACTTTGAACTTGGGAGATCTGCCTGCCTCTGCCTCCAGAGTGCTGGCATTAAGGTGTGCACCACTACTGCCCAGTCCAGAGGAATATTTTTATCAACTATTTTGTAATAGCTCTAGAAACATTTTTAAAAAGTGGAAGAAAACCACACCTTATCCCATTTTTTAAGTGTAAATGATTTTTAAGAGGTTAAATCATTTGCTGGTTGTTTATTTTTTAGTATAACCAGAAAACAACAGGCTCTGACTACCTGGGGGAAGGTCATCATAACATTCCATGAAGGGGACTGGTTTTATATCCTACAACACAAAGCATACTAAATGGTAATTTGGAGTATCAGTTGTACATTTGTTTCTGGAATATTTTCTGGTCTCGTATTTCTAATAGAACTGTTTCCTAAAAAATCTACTCCTCAGTTTGTGCCCTGTCAGAAATGGTCACGGCAGTCCATTTTCCTAATAATTGTGACAATGTGCTGTGCAATATGGAAATTGTGTGTGTACCGTGTTTGTGGCATAAAATTGTGAGTCAGTGGAATTAAGGATTATGAGATTTGATTGTTACGTGAGGTCTTAGGGAAAATTTGCCAATTTGTAGGCTGGAACACCACTGGAAACAACCCATAGCTCTTTTGGGTATGTGAATACAATGTATTTGGGTACATGTTTTAAGAATGGAAATGTCTGTGTACTCTGCTCCTCAACCAATAAAATCTCAGGTGCGAGCAGGGCGATGGTGGCGCACGGCTTTAATCCCAGCACTCTGGAGGCAGAGGCAGGCGGATCTCTGTGAGTTCGAGGCCGGGCTGGACTGACAGCCTCCAAAACAATACAGAGAAACCCTGTCTCGTAAAACCAAAAAAAAAAAAAAAAGAAAAACTCAGGTGTGAAAAAGTAAAAAAAAGAGTGTGAATTATTAATATAAGCATTTTGATTTTGATTCATTGCTACCCATCGACCTGACATTATTTTTCATGTTTAAAGTGAGGTAACACAGAGTATACAGCATTTTAAATTGCAATAAAATAATCAGAAAAAAATCTTTTAAAAAGCAGCTTAAACATGCTTTCTGTCCAATGTCACAAAAATCTGTTTCTTCCTTCATTGGGAAGAAAATCAGTTTTTATTGTCATCCATAATGAGACCTCCTCCTATAATCTACCACTGCATGGGCAGATGCTACATCTAATTTCAGTAAACAAATTTAGTATAGTCTGGAGACTTCCAAAGACTAGATGTTTAATTTCTGTTTAGGTAGAGCACGGGCCTTAAAAAAGAGATCTGATTCACTGCGACTGAATTTCTCATGCATTCTTTAATATCAAAAACAAGTGTACATCTATAAGTTTGGAAAAAGTAACTGAGTAAACAACAACTTTCACTCTTGGCCATTTTCACATATTTTCCTATCTCCAGGATTCTTCCTCCATAAATGCCATGAATATTGATGTAGCACCACTAAAGTTATATACAAAATTCTTACTTCAAAATGTCAACATTCAACTTGACAAACTGCAGTGAAGGCACAGTCTACAAAATTTATCTATACAAATTCTAATCCCAAGTTAATATTTTGCTAAAAGACCCCCAAAACTTTATCAACAACTTATTTGCAAAAAGATTAACAGACTTTTTCAATCATATAGCAGAAGCTACCTTACACCTCACTTGGGATTAGGATGGCTCAACTTGGTCTTAGTATGTCCCTTGCCCTTAGTGCCAGGCTTGGCTGCAGCTTGGGCTTGGGCTTTCTCTTCCTCTTCAATCAAAGCCTGCTCATAACGAGACATGTAAGCACTGGGCATGGTATCATTAACCTTAGCTAAAAACTCCATCACCTTCATCTTGCTGGTTTCAGCACAGGCTCTTGGCCCCCATAGGAACTCATAGGATGGAGGATCACTGTCAGGAACCTGACGGTATTCCAGGTACTTTTCCTGCACTAGATCTTCAGTGATGAGCTTTCTGATATTCCCGAAGATGAGATGTGGGACTCCATCATGGATTCCTAGCATACTCAGGAAGTGCCAGACCTCCTTCTCTGGGGCACAGTAGCCATTTAAGTAGATCACACTTAGGAGAGGGATCAGAATGCCCCTGTTGGGAAGACCCAGCTCATTGCTCCTACTTCCATCATCCTCGAAATCTAGCTTGCTGATAAGCATGTAGGATTGACCATTGGGCTGGACTTCCTTCATCTCAAGGCCAAACACCATATCCAATCGATACGAGGCTTTCTTGAGGATGTCAGGGAAGTGCTCCTTGAACCTTTTGTTGATGACTTTCAGCATTTCTCCCCTCTTGGCAGGCTGTTTAGTTTTGTACTTGGAGAGCATGTACTCCACTAGCAGTCCTGCCTTCCTTGATAAAAGGTCCATCTGTAAGCTTTCAGTGGATTGTGGGGCCCTAAATGATTGCCCATTTTTCTCTTCTTGGCCTGACCTAAAGTCCATGCCTTTATTAGCAGTGACAGTGGGTGCCTTACCCTGCGGGAAGTCAGCAGGAGAATTGCTTGGCTTCCCATCTCCTGAACCTTGACCAGAGCAAGCAGATGACTCTCCTTTCTCTGCTGCCTTTGCCTGAGCATCATTCAGCCTGTGGGTCTCATCTTGGATCTGGCGACGTTTCTCTCGAGCACGGGCCTTACTCTTCTTTCCTCTGGGCATGGTGGCTGCAGTGGCTTGGGAAGCAGGTGATCTTGTTACCTAGATCAGGAAAATAACACACTATAAGCACTTTTTGCAGATTCCAAACACCTTGGCTTTCCCTAACATTTCTTTTTCCACATTTTGAGGAGAACATTGCTGAAAGAATACACTGGGCTTTTGTTCTCCTGACTAGCTTCCATTGCTTCTGACTTACAGAGGTGTCTGAGTACATTTAGTTCTATTCATATCCAGAAGTGTTCTACTCTCTTTGCCATAGGAAAGATTCCTAGGAGCCTGGAAAAGAGCTTCAGAAAGCTCCCTCTGTTGAAATGACGGGGTAAGGAGTGCTGAGAAAACTCTCTAACAGCACATCACAGGTTTCTTTAAACCCATCTGCAGCTCCTTTCCCTAGGCTCCATGTTAAGCAGAGCACCACCACCCTCCTTTTCACCGGGGCTCACAACGTCAGACAAATAATTTTACCTCTGGATTGAAATAAAGACATGCTGATGGGCTGGGATGGGGTAGCTCAATCCATGATGAGCTTGCTCGGCAAACCCAAGGACCTGAGCTTTAAACCTAGAATCCATGGGTAAAAAGCAAAGTATGGTGGATTGCATTTGTAATCTCAGTGCCGGGGTGGAGACAGAAGGATTATGGGGCTCTATACCCAGCATTGCTAGCCTATTTGCCAGATCCAGGCCATGAAGCAACCCCATCTTAAACACAAGATGGATAGCTCCTGAGGAACAATATCCTAGAGTTCGGCTTCTTTCCACAAGCATGCACTCACGTATTGGGACACACACATACACACATGCACTAAGAAAACACAGATCGCCCCCCAACACACACACACACACACACACACACACACACACACACACACACACACACAGATGTAAGGGAGGTGCTGAAACTCACAACACTTATCTTTCCTCTTGAGTACAGTGCCTGTGGCTAATCAGGACCACACCTACACGTCACACTATGGTGCCCGGGCTTGCAGCGGCCCTATTAGTTTTGAAAGTCGTTCCCTCTCTTTCCTAGATTTTCGCTGTCAGGCTCTGGATTCCCAGGCTAACGTGGGCCTATACGAGACCAGGGTAGCCCTCCTTGGAGAACTCCGTCAGAGGAGCAGAGGGGCCCGGGTTCAGGAGCACGTGAAATATCGCGATGCTATGCGCCAAGTTTCAGTTTGCATTCAACCAGGATCTTAGGAGCCTGCTCAAACATTTCAAAGGGACACTTTTTGTCTGCATCCGTTTTACCAAGTTATGGGAATTGCTGCAAAATTCCATCACGTATACCTTGTACGCTGGTCATACTCTCCGCACTTTCCTCACCCACTGCCGCATTTCCTCACTTCTTTTTCTCCCCATCCTGGTCAATTTCCCATTGTCCCCTCACTTCTAACAGTACATGAGAGCTTTGGAAGGAGGCTTTTTTTCCCCCTGAGACAGGGTTTCTCTGTGTATCTTTGGCTGGCCTGGAACTCACCAGGCTGGCCTCAAGCACAGATCCACCTTGCCTCTGCCTCCTGGGTGCTGGGATTAAAGCCATGTGTCACTGCTCTTTTATGTATTTAACAACATCTGCTTCTGCCGGCTTTGTAACTTTACCCATGGCTTCACGAATCCTAAGCAACACTATTCCCTAGATGCGCTACATTTCTGACTTTCTAATATAATTCAAGAGAATATAAGGTCCTCCAGGTATTTCTGGCGTGTGGTTCCTTCTGACCACCGTAAATTTGGCATAGTACCTGGTTAGGCTTCCTGATTCCTACGTGCCTGGAGCAGCTACCCGAAGTTAGGCTTCCTCTGATTCCCACTTGCTGGGCATATTTACCTAAGTTAGGCTTCTTCAGACTCCCATGTGCTGGACGCGGCTTCCCAAAGTTAGGCTTCTAACTCCCACGTGCTGGGCTTGGCTACCCAACATTAGGCTTACTCCGACTCCCACGTACTGGGCGTGGCTTAGCGAAGTTAGGCTTGACTCCCACTTTCTAGGCGTGGCTACACGAGGTTAGACTGACTCCCACGCACTGGGCGTGGCTAAGCGAAGTTAGGCTTGACTCCCACTTGCTGGGCCTGGCTAAGCGAAGTTAGGCTTGACTCCCACTTGCTGGGCCTGGCTAAGCGAAGTTAGGCTTGACTCCCACTTGCTGGGCCTGGCTAAGCGAAGTTAGGCTTGACTCCCACTTGCTGGGCGTGGCTAAGCGAAGTTAGGCTTGACTCCCACTTGCTGGGCATGGCTACCTGAAGTTAGGCCTTTTCTAACTCCCACTTGGTGGGCGTGGCTACTCAAAGTTCGGCTTCCTCTGAATCTCGTGCTGGGCATGGCTACCCCGAGAAGGGGCCCTTCTTACTTCCAGGAGCTGGTTGTGGGGCTTCCCCTGACCTCCACGTGCTGGCCTTGGCTATCCCGAGCCTCAAAGTATCTCTTCCTTTTGGCTCCGCAAAACCTCCCACCACCCCGTGCTGGGCATTGCTAACCCTGTTCCTTTCTAGGCTTTTAAAGGTTCTTTGTCTTTCCAAAGTGGGAGCTGCAAAGCACCATCTCAAGCATTTAAAAATGGGAACAAAACTTGCGGGAGTTGTTTCCCTAATTCCACCATGTAGGTTTTAAGGATCCAACTCACTTTTTGAGTATAGTGGGCAATGTTTACACTCGCTGAGGCATTTCACTGACATGAGGGATTTTTTTAGTGTTTTTTTCTACTCTGTTATGTTTACATTTCTCATTTTTTAGATATTAACTCCCTATTTTGCTGGTGATAAGTCCGGTCCACTTCGGTTGCTGGTGAACTCTTCCTGGGGGCATTTTAGAGCCCAGTGCCAGGAAAGCTCATGGTGGACATGTACTGCGTTCAAGGTTCTGTCCTTACCAATTAGAAACCAAAGTTTGGCTTTAACTGTGACCTAGGAAGCCACCATTTTCAGAACCTGGGTTACTTCCTAAGACCGGGGTCCCCGTTTCCTCCCAGAAACATTCAGTTACAAGACAAGTCACATTGCTAACAGGTTCTATGCTTATTTCAGAGATATTCGCTCCTTGGTACGCATTTAGGGTCCTTACCTTGACCGCAGACCTCTGCAACAACTTGCGAGCAGCTGGTCCGGAGCAACAAATGGCAGCGTCTGTGCCACGGGCACTAAGACCCAGTTTCTCCCCTCCTCACAGGAAGAGAGGGTAAACCACATCCGGCTAGGGGCAGGCTCTCTAAAGATTGACAGCCGGGTCAGGTTGCTATGGAACTGCACTGCTGTGGAGGCTGCATAAAGGAGAGAGTCTGGTTTCCTCACTGTACTTCCCTAAGACACCTAGCCTTCCCCACCCCCCACACTTTCCTCGGGCTATTGCACAAGCACACAGAGCTTAAAGCCTGAGCCTCTGAAGCCCCACTGTAACTCATGCCCCGTCCAGCACGCCATACTTCCATCTCCCCCCATAGGATACCGGACTCCCTGACTGCCCCTCCACATAAGCACACTTTGCATGCCCTGACCCAGAGTTACTTCTCAACTTTCAGGTACATGTCTCTGCTTTCCTGGACCCCTATCCCCCACCGGGGAGGTGGGGCGATGCAGGGAAATGAAGGTTACAAGGCCACAACCTCCCAACTAGGAACAGTGAATCTTAGGCTCCCGCCCTGTATGCACCCAAGTCTGCCACCTACACACATAGCCCTCCCTTGCCTCAGCCCTGTAAGTGGAAGTCTGTATTCACTCATTTACAACGAAGGTTGACAGCTTTGTCCTGGATCTCAGATTACTGCATCCCATTCTTTTCCAGAGCTAAGAAATGCCTCAGGTTAAGGTCCAGTCTCCATAGGAAGCCACACCTTCTTGAGTACCAGAGGAGGTGATCTGGGCAAACTTCTTCCCATGGTGCTCAAGGCTTCTTGAGTTTCTTGGGCCCCACAGCAGGGCCAGGATTCTGAGCCCACACTTTCTCTTAGGAGACAATTCCTTTCGTTCCACAGAGGGTCTCTCAGCTTCAGTTTGGCTTTGAACAGGAACTCTGCCTTGCAGAACTGGATCCTGACCCTTAAAACCTATTAGGCTGCTTGCTGTGACACTGTGGACAGAGGTGAGGTGTACCACAAATTCTGTGTTGGCTCAACGGCCTGACTTCTGGGGTTGCTGGCATCTTTTCATCTACTGATCTTGGGCCCTTTGCCTCTAGCATAGAATTCACCCCCTCCATACCTGAAGTGGAAATCTAGTCACACCCCAGTTAGGACCCATTTCCCATCCCTCACCTTTCCAGCCAGAAGTGTGGCTGAGGGTTTTGAGGTATCACTCTTTCGGTAGCTGGTCCTCCTGTAATTATTCCTGGCTCTTCTCACCTTTGTACTCATGAAAACCAAGCCTCCTGACTCTTAAAGGTCATGGTCTTTCACACTCCACATCCTTCAGGAGAAAAATGAGGGTTAGTTCATCCCCACAGCTCTGCCAAGCCTAACAACAGCTGTCAGTTCTTAAAGTCTTTTAATTTTAGTATAAATATTCATATGCCTATATTTATATTAACCATATATATACATATACATTAATCCAGTCCCATGTTTGTGACTTAGTGATCACTTTCTCTCTCAATAAACCTAAATTTCCTTTTCCCCTCCCTATTGGGCTATTTACTCTGCTTCCTTTCTTTGGAGAAATCTTCCAGGTAGAAATTCTTGTGGGCTACATAGATTTGGAGTGTTTGTATTTTGGAAAAACCAGTAGCAGAGGAAGAATTCTAGGAAACAACTATACTTTCCCTTCAAATCCTCATTATGGCTACTATCTGACTATCAAATCTGAGGATACTTTTCTCTGTATTTCTGTCACTGGTTTTTGGCCAATGCTCTCAGTGGGTTGGAGAGACTGTATAGCATGTATCTATTCTCTGAGGACTCCTGGGCATGATATTTTTGGGCAGATGTTCAAATGATGTCTTCTTGCGTGTACATTTTCAGTAATAATTGACGCAAGGATAACATTTTTCCCCCATTTCCTTATAACATCAGGAAATGGGCAACATACGGCAGGTGTTCAAAATCAGGAGGTGGCCTTCAAACCACCTTTTTTAATATAATAAAAAATGCCTGATTGACAGGGTAGCTTATTCCTGTTAAGCCAGGAGAATGAAAAGTTCAGGTCAAGCCTAAACTATATAATGATTTCAATGTCAGCCTCATTTGAGAACACCTGGTCTGGATCAAATCCCTAAAGAAAAAATTAAAAATAAATTAAATACAAAGTACAGAAGGAGCTAAAACTTCCTATCTATGCCTTCCCTTTCGGTCAGCTTCTTAAACTTGTTTTTTTTTTTAATTGGATGGCTCAGTTAGATTTGTATAAGCCCCTTATCTTTTAAAGCTGTCCAAAATCACATACATACACATTTCTATCACCACCAAACACACTCTAGTTTTTCTACTTCCATACCTTATATTTAGCCAGATATTTTGGATCATACCTTCCATCCCTGCACTCATGAAGAGAGATATGATGATTGCCAAGACTACAGGTACATCCTTTACTGCATGGTATGCCCTGGGACAGTTTGCATTGCAGTGCAAACCTCTTCCTCTAAAATACACAAACAAATAAGAAGTCTTCACGATTATTTTAGTGACCTCATTTATCTCGCTATGTGCTATTACCACATAGTGAGATCAGAGGGTTTACTTGTTATGATGCTGTTACAGTACTAAAAAGAAAAGGGAAGGTCAGGAGAGATAGCTCAGCAATTAAAAACCACTTGGTGCTCCTGCTGAGGATCTGGGTTTCATTCCCAGCATTCACATGCTACTCACAATCTTCTGTAGTTTTAGGGGGACCTGACCGCCCTGGACACTACATGCATGTAGTAATTACACTTACATGCATGCAGGCAAAATACTCATACTCATAAAAATAAAAATTAGAAAATATTTTCAAGGGAATAAGATAGTTTATTCTGGACCTATTTTGAGCATCCATGGCCTTGGAACACAGATTTGGTTATCCAAAATTCCATGTTCCAGTGTGGAAGAAGTATGTTTTGATAGTTTTATAGAACAAGGAAAGTCACAAATCAAGACAAATTTAAAATGCATTGATGGGAACGTCAGAGAGTCAGGTACAGCAAGATGGCAGAAGTTTTCTATGGTCCTAAAATGCTACCTGATGACATTGTGCTTTGGTTTAGTGAAAGCAAGTGGCCAACAGATTTCTATCAGTCACAAGATGTTAGTTCAGACACAGACAGAGGCAAAGAATGGTTGTTCGGGAGGAATAAACTTGCCCAGGGTAAGGTAATTAGCTTCTGGACCTGCAACATTCCACAGTAATGACACTTTAATCAGCTAAACAGTCTGTAGACAATTTCCTTTTGGGAGTTAATCTTTCACAGACAGACACAACTTCTTTTCCGGAATTATCATTCATGGTTCTTCCTGTAATTCAAGCATCCTAATTCGTGCATGCAAGGGCCACCTAAAATTTATTAAATATTATAAGGTTCCTGGCAACTAGGAAGGCCCATTCCTAGGATGTGATGTATATGAGACTGAGCAGTGGGTAGGACAGTCATCTCCAGGAGAGAGGAATAGCTGGTATAAGGCATTAAGAAAGAAAGTCTTGAATCATCAAAACTATTAACCATTATGTTACAGATCTGAATTATTTTTACATCCTCTGTATCTGATGTGTGACATAAAATAATGATACTTAAAATTAAATAATCAAGAACACAGTTGGGCCTAATGAAGTACTAGTAACAGATGAAACCAAAATTTTAAAAAGATTTACTATATAGTTCTTGTATTTACAGTTATTTGTATTCAATGAACTATACTTGTATTTAAATGATTAGAAATGGGATTTTTCAAAGTAATCACTGTAGTATTGTCTTTTTATTAGTAAATACAAAATTGTCTAAATTTTAAATCATGGTTAATTGTACTATACAACATTTTAGATACTAATTAAATCAAGAAACATCAATATCGAAGATATAAAACATCATAAATTTTGTGGTTGCTAGACATTGATGCCTTTTGTATAATTTGTATAATCTTATTTATAATGTATAAATAAGAATTCAAAATAAGAATTAACTCAGATCTTTGAGTAACTAAAGCTAGAGTAAATAGACTTAAAATTCAATTTGAAAACTAGAATTTTTGTTTTATCTAATTATATTGAATAATAAGAATATATTATATGCATATATTTATAATGACAATGAAAAATTTGATTATTTCAAACATTAGTTTTGTATAAGGTAGGAGTTTAGGGTAAGCAAACAGTTATAACAAAAAGTTATGATCAGATGAAACAACATGATATTTTCATTTGTAGTTTCATTAAAATCAAGACTAATATTATTTTATCATTTATAAATATACCAAGTAGAATATTAGATGTCATTATGTTTTTCAAATCTAATTACAAAAATATTTAAGGGTTCTCAAGTGTTAGTGGTGTTGAAGATGAGTGTCATGCAGCAGTTTTACAGTGCACAAGAATGTGCTCTTAGAAGATGAGAGAAAGTTCACCACCTCCTAAGAGTGAATAAGAAGGACTTAGAGACAGTCCTGATCTTTACATCAGAATGGAGTCTTTGATGTGATATCCTTTATTTTTTTGACTATTAGTTGATGAGATCATCTTTTGTTTTCCTTTGAAGACTTTGTAACTAATTTTAACTTTAGTTACTGTGATTAAAAGTCTTTTACAATACTATACGTTATTTATCTGATAGACCAAAATTTATATACATATTTAAATATTTGTCCAGTAGAACAAGCTTTACTGTCATTATGTAATTGATTAGGCATATTTTAAGTAATTATCACACACTAAACACATTATTTTTATGCTTAAAGCAATGACTGACAATTCAAACAACGAAAGCTTTGTCCAATGGGAAAACATATTTAAAAACCTAAAATTTAGTGATAGGTTTTAACTGTTCGTTTAGTGAAAGAATACTAAGAAGAGATCAATACTTAAGAGAATACTGTTAGCATAGCAGTGGTGGCACACACCTTTAATCCCAGCACTCAGTAAACAGAGCAGGCAGAGTATGAAGCCAGGCTGGTTTACTGAGCAAGTTCCAGAACAGTTAGGCTACACAGAGAGGCCCTATCTAAAAAAAAGCCACAAACAACAAAA